GATCGGAGCCGCCATAGTGAGCGGACGCGTCTGGGTCGCTCCCAGGAAATCCGTCGCAGCCAGCCTCTGACGTCGCCGTCGTTTCTGAGTTCAACTGGCCAGTGATCTCCTCAATAACAAGGGGTGGGTGTGACAATGCCTTTCTGGGCATCAAAATCTCCGTCGATAAGAATCATAACGTATCAATCAATCAAAAGGAATATATCCAGACTATTCTGCAGCGTTTGCAAATGAACGACTGTAAAGAACTCTCGATACCTTCAGACAGCTCGATCTCTCAGAACGTTATGGAATTCTCGCATACGGCTCCGCGTTCAGAACCGTTCTTTGCCCAGTCGAGAAAATTCAGAACCGCTGCATCCGAATCATCGCTGGGTATTGATCGACCCTGAAGGAGAACCAAAACAAATACGTCCTTTTCGAGAGATTCAAAGAACTCAATATTCAGTTGAAACCCAACCTATATATAGACGATCAATCAGCACTGAAGCTAATACAAAACCCTCAATTTCACATGCGCACGAAACACATCGATGCGTGCGATATAAATTCATAAGAGAAACATTCCAAAATGATCAAATCAATTTTTATTTCGTTCCTATGGATCAGCAGATAGCAGATATCCTGACGAAACCTCTTCCACGTCCAGTCTTCCAAAGACTCTTGAATCTTGCTGGACTAAAAAGAAATCATGTTCGCTAAGATTCTGATCGGTCTATCGATTCTCATTCACATAAACGGACAATCATACTTCACTTATGATAAGTGCCCAAAAAATTGCATAAACAAAAACCAAACGTGCGTGATTGAGAAACGAACCGAAGTCGAAAAGTCATGTGTCCCGTCTCCTGTCGTACAGGGTGGGGCAGTATAAATTCCCCATTTTGTTTTGCTTACAAAATCCGAACCAAGAGGGCTAGCGAAGTTCTGTTCGCGGCGGAATGACCGGGAGTACATGCCCTTTCAGGAAAAATCCTCTCCGGTCCGATATCCCCCATTAGGCGGACGAGAATTGGCGAGATAGTGAAAAAACGGTCTTTCCGCGGGAAACAATATTCGAGCTCGTGGACAATGACGGCATGGACTAACACGAGAAATGAGATCACTCCTCCGGAATTGAACTGAATCTTCGGTTTATTAATGGTTGCGCTAGGAAGTTTTGAAAATGTAATCGGTCAGGTGCTTGCCTCCACTCGAAATGCAATCCCGAAGCCGCTCCACGAAACCTGCTATGACCCTCTGCAGAGCTTCCGTGGAGATGCCGGCGATTTCGGAACGGATCGCTTCCTTGAGGGCTCCCAAAGTGCGAGGTCGCTCGCGGTATAGCCTGTCTTTCAAATAACCCCAGAGAAAGAAATCGCAGGGCGTGAGGTCTGGCGACTGCGGTGGCCAGACAATATCGCCTCTCAGTCAGTGAAACCAACCGACCGGGGAACATCTCGCGCAGCACTCCCATCGATTCTCGCGAAAAGTGTCATGTTGCACCGTCTTGTTGAAACCAAATGTTGTCCAATCCGAACTCCTCCACAAGAGCATTCAGTCTCGGCCTCAGGAAGTTCTGCAGCATGTCACAGTAGCGATGCGTGTTGACAGTGACTGTGAGACCATCCTCCTCGAAAAAATAGGGCCCCCGGACCCCGAAGGTCCCCATTGCACAGAAAACTGTCAGTTTTGGACAATGTAATGGTTTCTCGTGCACCACGCGCTTATTGCGGACACTCCATCGACGATCGTTTTGCTGATTCGAAGTTCCGTAAAGATGAAAGTGGGCCTCATCCGTGAAGATCAGAATCGCTGTCTCGGGAATGATATCGAGAATGCGTTGACACGATATCCGGCGTTGGTTCCATGGTCTCGGTGTGAGCGCTTGAGCTACCGCTCTTCGATAGGGATAAAATCCGAGATCCCCATGCAGAATTCTTCGAGTTGCCCGGATGGAGATGTCCAGCGCGAGAGAGATTTTCCGCGCTGAGCGCTGTGGAGATCTCTGAACCACTTCTCTGACGGCTGACACAGCTTCACTTGATCTCGCAAAGCGCACTCCAGAACGTTTCTTCCTTCTGAGGGAACCCGTGGTCTGGAACTTATCCAACCCCAGCCTGATGGTCTTCCTGGTAGGGACCGCAGAACGACGGGGGAGGTCAAACCTTCGTCGAAAGGCTTTCTGTGTTTGGATAACAGAATTGCAGCGTGCCATTTCAGTCACCACGAATGCTTTGTGAACGGGTGTCCAAATCATGATGGAGCTGACTCGTTGGTTCCACTGAGAGCTCGTTCGTTCTCAAGTGATTCTCGATCGAAATCTCCCAGGGACATTTTGCTTGGAAGCAAATGTCGGTCATGGCTCGCTCAAAAATGTCAGGTGTTGTGTCAATGTTCAAAGATTCGCGAACACCTCGGAAGCGTGCGGCCATGCTCGAAAGTCCCTCGAAATTCAGATTCTGTCATTGTCAACGAGCTCGAATATTGTTTCCCGCGGAAAGAGCGTCACTATCTCGCCAATTCTCGTCCGCCGAATGGGGGATATGGGACCGGAGAGAATTTTCCCTGAAATGGCGAGTCCTCCCGGTCATTTTGCCGCAAACAAAACTTCGCTCGCCCTCTTGGTTCGGATTTTATAAGCAAAACACGAGCCTGGCCATGATGTCTGTTCTTGTCCCTCAGTCAAGCGGGTCTGTAAGACCAAATACCTCGGGATTGTCATCGACGAAAAGCTATCTTGGAAGCCCCAGATCGCCCTACTCCTCAATGAAGTTAGGCGAGCTGTGGCTTGCATCGCGAGACTTGGGAGAGCCTCATCGAGGAAGGTCGTGCTCGGAGCATACAGAGGACTTTTCGAGTCTCATCTGCGTTATGGAATTCTTGCATACGGCTCCGCGTTCAGAGCCGTTCTTGGCCCAATCGAGAGGATTCAGGACCGCTGCATCCGAATCATCGCTGGGAAGTCTGGAAACGAGCCGATAGATGAACTATATGATCAGTTGGGAACTATGTCGTTCCGTAAACTGTACTTGTCTGTGCTCTTGATGTACCTACAGACCCAGCTGAAAATCTCATTAGCTGCCAATGGATTTCTTCTGCTTCTTCTCCTTGGACTATTCGCTCTTCTCATTCGAAGTTGTCTGGAACCCAAGGAACCAGAAATACCTCTCGATCCCGAGCCTGAAAATCACTACTGATAACTCGACTAATAAATCTAGAATATTACAGATACAATGAACAACATGACCTACGACCTGGGGTATCGAAGCTTCAAACGAGAAATTGTCCCTATCATTAGGAGATACGTCGAAGAAGCTCAGAACGTCCCGGACCCCATTAATAGAGTCAACGGCATGTGGAAGAAGACAAATATCCCCATGAAAAGACAATATCTAGCACAAGCTCTAAGGAAAGTTCAAGACAACGGAAACGGAAGAGCGCAGCTACAGAACACTATCTACGAAGTCAAAGATAGAATTCATGAACACGAACAGACGTCACAACACGTGATATCACAAGGTCTGTCTCCAGCTGCGGTCAGCCGAGTGCTCACAGAACACGAACAGCTCTATATAAGACTGACCCAGGACACATCAAAGGAGATCAGCCTCCAGCAAGATAGGAAAGCGATCAGAAAATTCTACAACGGAACCATACACAGACAGGAAATCGGAACAACAGAACATGACCAAACCGGCGAATAATGTGTCTATCAGGGCGACTGATAACACATGATACACGCATCATCACTCGCAATGGATCCTGAATTAAAATCCTTCCCTTGCAGCCATGCGAACGCGAGAGCCACCCCCAAAATTCTCTTTTTCCTTCTCCAACCTGAAATCAATCCATAGAAGTATAAAACGAGCATACAAAAAGATGAATGGAACCCATGAACTGAATATAAAGAAAATAACCAAAACCAAAAAATCGATAAAAATGAAGAAAAAAGAACAAACCAAACGGTAGACAATATATATATAGGATGATAAATCATCTGAGTATAGGATCGTTAATTGGACGTCTCCAAATATAGGTGCTGTTATTTACGAAAAACGCGCGCTCCATCGGCCGCCGCCAAAAGGCGAGGGCAGATGGAAAGAATGGTAGAGAAACCTCAGAGAGCAGAATCCGCGCGTGAAAACGCTCTCTTACGTTCTGCCTGTCGAAGTGCGCGGTCGCTTCTCAGCGTTGACCGGCGTAGACAAGAATAAAGTGCCTACGGGCAAGTATCGAACGACTCCCGGCTCATCCCTACATTTGGTGGAGATAGCGGTGCCGACCCCATACCGCAATGAAGCGAACCCCGCCAGTGTTGAGGAGCAGAAGAGGCTCTCAACCGGAGGTGCCAGCAGCACCGGAGGATCCAGTAACACCAGGCTCCGAGCCAGAACAGTTCCAGCGGACATCAGCCTGTTCAGCTCCAGCATCCGATCAATCATCTGATCCAGCAGACAGTTTCCAGGAACTCGTAGAAAACCAGCTCCTGCAAGAGGATGCCGCCGTCAAGCGACTCCTCGCTTCGACACTTGAGGTAGGCCTAGCATCGAAGCCTACCCGGGTCCCCAGCGCCTCGCAACCCAGCTCCAGCGGATATGCAACGACAACATTGAACCAGCAGCAGGATGTCAAGAGGAGGCATCCGGATCTAGCACGATACCAACCACCCGGCGCCCAGAGAGTGGCCGTTCCAGCACAAGAATCTACACCGATCCAGCAGCACGCGCCGGAGGAAAGCCGATCCAGCAAACCCCAAGGTCAGCAGATCCAAGTTCCAGCAAGCAGCGAGCAGGCCGGGATTTCCAATGCGGAACTCCTGGCCATGCTCCTGGAAATCCAGATGCAGCTAGCAGAACGAACGCAACACGAGGTGCCCCGGCAACACGTAAAGAGCCGACTACGAAAACTTCAGCGGCAAGCCTGCCCAAGACGCAGCGGGGTGGCTAAGATCCTTCAACCGCACCGCGGACTACAACGGCGATGACGAGACGATCAAGCTGAGGCGAGTACCACTGTCCATGACGGACGACGCTCTTGCATGGTATGAACGAGCCCAGTCCGAGCTCGTGTCGTGGGCCGCGTTCGAAGCCCACTTCAAGAGCCGCTTTGTAGATCTCGCAGCCAAACGACATGAGGCGCTCAGAAAACTGGAGACGCTGACGAGGGACAAAGACCAAAGGCTCACCCCGCACTTGGAATACACAATGAAATTGTGTTACGACTTCGATCCGGAAATGAGCGAGGAGCGGGTCATCGAGAGGAGTCTCCAGACACTTCGGTCGGAGGAAGCGTATGCGCTTCTCTCCGTCAGACCGACGACCATCAGTGAGCTGCGGGCTCACCTCACGTGGATGGACAAGACGATCCCGCATCTAAACGATAGGAAGTCACAGCCGTCGGATCTAGCAATCAACAGAATCGGGGGATCCAGCAGAAACGACGACGAAGTTCGCTTCGGGAGATCCCGCAGTTCATCAAGAGAGAAATCCGAAAGAGGCAAATCGCGCTCCAGCAGTCTCGACCGCCACCCTCAGCTCCAGCATAGAAGCAGATCACCGGCTCCAGCAAACTACGCACAAAGAGGTAGATCTCCGGCTCCAGCAGCCGCCCAACGCGCACCGCTCCAGCAGAGAATCCCGACCCAATACTTCACGGCCCGGCAATACCCAGCAACAGACTACAACCCCAACGGGAGGGTTCTCTGCAACTGGTGTAACAACGTAGGCCACACGATCAAGCATTGCAGGCGCAGGATGGAGCTCAAGCCGAGGACCCGCGCAAGGCTCCAGCAGTCGGGAAACTCCTACGGCCGTTAGAAGAAATCCGTGAAGACTTCAACGCCGCCCACCGCATTCACGGGAACCGCATACAAGTGTATTTAGGTAGGAATGAACAGGCTCTAGCATTAGTGGATCTGGGCGCCGATGTCTCAGCCATACATCCCGATCTCGCGAAAAAATTCAGTTCTAGCATCAAAAAATTCGTGCGGGTAGCAGGCAACTCAAGAGTGCCGATACGTGGCCATTGCGCCCCGTTCGAACTAGCAGTCACTGACAATTTGAGCAACAGAATCATACTGGGTCTAGACCTCTGGAAACAACACGGCGCTCTCAGTGATCTCAAACGAGGCATCGTTAGCTTCCAAGATATGCCTGATCACCGAGTTGGAGAGATGGGAACTGACGAAAGAGAGCCCCCAGTCATGAACCACATTCGAGTGGTGTCGGATTCCGAGCGGAACAAGGATAGCAGCGCGCGGGGCCCAACGGCAGCGAGAGCGGGCATGAGACAGGGCGGGACATCGGAGCTTAGAGCCAGGCTCAGAACTACGACGAGCGTAGTTATTGCGGCAGGAGAGACCAGAATCATAGTACTAGAGTTAGACATGTTAGTCGACCTTAGTTCACACGGCGCACAGTGGTCAAAAATCGATTTCTAGGTGGACAAAATTATTCGGTCGTTTTTCGCCCATATCTCAAACTTGAATGGTTCAGACTACCCGATACGATGAAAATTAGGGACGGATGACCCCCCACAAGGACGCACCGACCCGAAGAGTTGCGATTTGTGTCGATACGACCGAGGGAAAATTCTTCCGTGGCCGACAACAGGCGAAAACCTAAATTGCTCATTTAAGACCTTTGCCCCGGCTTACCCCAGGAATTTTTTTTTTTAAA